GACTTCCTGAGCCACGACTCACCATCCCTCAGTAACCTGCTCCAAGCACATAGAGCCTTGTTCATTTCCCCTTCTTAATTTCTAGACAACCTGTCTCTTGTTGATTTCCCCTGTTTAAAAAGCCCATACTCTCTCTTAGATGGGAAGAAGGATTTGAGGCTGCTTCTCCTTATAATATGTCTTTCATATCAAAATATCCTTTCGTCCTTGGCAATCCTCATTGTCTCAGCCATTGGTTATTATTCTGTGCCACAAGCAACTGGACCTAGGCCAAAACCCCCTAATGGTTTTGAGAACATTTGTTTTGTTCTCTCCTGCTATGGAAACTAAAGTCTTGGCCATAGATTCAAAACTGACAAATGGGTAGAAAGAGCACACATTGTTATCATTATTATTATCCGCACCAATGATCCTGTCCATTAATGTGAATAATTGTGAGGTTTTTCAGTTCTCTAATTCAGTACAGAAAACATTAACAAATACTCATCTGAAATTTAATTTTACTTTGGCTTCCTTCACATAAATTTTTTTTTCTTGTATTAAGAGGTTTATATCTGACCACATAAATTTTTTTTTCTTGTATTAAGAGGTTTATATCTGACCAATATGAAGTTTTATTTATATGTTTATAAATGCTAATATCTTTTACTTAATAAAAATCATTTAGCAAAAATTAAAACTTAAAGAATTTGTGAAATGATAAACAATGAATTAAAGTACATGCTTTTACAGAATATGTATATTATATGTTGCCATTTCATCCCTAGGCTGGCCACCTTTAGGCAGTGACTCATCTCTGATTTCTCCAGCTTTTCTCTTACCTGAATGTATCTACTGGATGTCTCATTCTGCAGGTATCTGCTCCTAGCAGGTAGTCCATGGGGAAGAATTCATTCAAAGTAAAGCATTAATTGCTAAAAAAATGTTATACTTCTAGGGAAATTTAATTTTAATTCACAAAAATTCCTTAATAATTTATGGAAGTGACTCTAATGGAGAAATATAAAACATTAGGGAAGTTTAACTACAGGGAAATGTTTGTATGTTTGACTGTTCTCAGAAACCTCAAATCATACTGTATAGGGAAGTATCCATTCCGATTATACTTAAGATGAAAACAATTATAAAAAGTCATTTTAAAAATCACATTAGGGGCAGTTTTTTCCCCCAACTGAATATGCTGGCACATATTTCTACTATGAGCCAGAAATCCTAGACTAAATCACAAGTTGAACTAAAAACATTGCTAGAATAAATAAATGCAAGTAACACTTACTCACTCAGAGGTGAACATACAAAGCCACAAGGATGGTTATAACCACGGATATAATGTGAAGATGGAGGAAATTCTGGAAAATCCACACTTTGAGCTAAGTGATTAAAAAAAATTAAAATGAAACCTCCACAAAGATGAAAAACTCTATTTTCAGTAGCATGTTTTTTAAAAAATGTATGATATGGCATTTAAGTTAGTTATCAGCATTAACATTACCTTTATACATGTGAATATGTTTGCATATATGAATGTATACACAAGCCAAAACTGAGAAAATACCACTATGAACACTACTGTCCTTTCAAAATTTTTCCTGCTAGTATTTCTAAAGATGCTGTTACCTTGTATATACAAGAAAAACTGTTAGAAGTGTCATTTAATTACTTTCTGAGATTTTAAAAAAATTTTTTTTGAAACTGGATCTCACTCTGTTGCCCAGCCTAGAGTGCAGTGGCATCATCATAGCTCACTGCGACCTCCAACTCCTGGGCTCAAGCAACCCTCCTGCCTTAGCCTCCTGAGTAGCTGGGAGTACAGGTGCATGACACCACACCTGACTAATTTTTTTAAAAACGATTTTGTGGAGACAAGGTCTCACTATTGCCCTGGCTGGTCTCAAACTCCTGGCCTCAAGTGATTCTCCTGCCTCAGCATCCCAAAGAGCTAGGATTACAGGCATGAGCCACCATGCCTGGCCTGCTTTTTGAGATTTGAAGCAAAAGAAGTTGTCTCATGGAAGAAGACTTCTATTGTTGTGGCCTCATAGATTTTCTTGTTAATCATTTTTTTAAATAAAGTATTTAAAGTAGTTAGATGGTCTATCAATAAAGAGTTTAAAATGCCCCCTTCTGCCAATTCCCTGTAGCTAACTTCAAACTATAATTAAAAATCAGTAGGAGTTTGTTTTAGGAATTACACAGGCTAATATCTGTATTATATGTGAATGTAGAGGGAGGTGGTTTGATTATGATTTAATTTATGGTTATCTTAT